TTGTATCTCCATTCCCTACAGTACCTGGCACATAGTAAGCACTAAATAAATGCTTGTTGATTAATTAACTGAAGTAATACGTCATCTTCTTCCTCCTCGTCTCATATCACCCAGCATGCCTTCTACTGCTATATTCTCCTTCATTCATATCTCATGTAATAAAGTAGCCCTTATTCTTGCCAAGGCAAGCCCCCCTACATACGCAAGTTATCCCATTTCACCCCACTTCTCTCGCAGATTGCCCCCTCTCACATCCCCATTCTCTCACTTATCTTCAGTCTAGATAGATTTCAATAGATAGGGATCTACTGGCTGCTTCTCTGTTGCCTACAAACATGCCCATGTTTCCCCTGTTCTCAAAAAAACCTCACTTGAACCATCTGTTCCCATTACTTATCTTCCCACAACTCTCCTCCCTTTTGTGGCTAAACTCCTTGAGAAGGGTGTCTACAATAGGTGCCTTCACTTCCTCCCTTCTCACCCTCTTCCTAACCTTTACAGTCTGTCTTCTGACCTCATTCAACCAAAACTGCTCTCTCCAAAGTTACTAATATTCCCTTAATTGCTCAATCTAGTGGTCCTTTCTCAGTCCTCCTCCTTCTTGACTTCTCTGCAGCCCCTGACACTGTCAGTTATACCTTCTTCTCCTTGACACTCTCTTCTGTCTAGATTTTCATGACATTGCTCTCTCCTAGTTCTCCTCCTACCTATCTTGAGTGCTCCTTCCCAGTCCCTTTTGCTACTTCTTCACCAGGGTCACACCTACTCACTGTGATTGTCCTGTCTTGAGCCCTCTTCTTCTATATTATTTCACTAGTTGATCTCATCAGCTCCCATGGATTCAATTACCATCTCTGTGCTAATGATTCTCAAATTGCTTATGCACCCTTAACTTTTCTGGTCACCTTGTCTCAGATCTCCCAACAACCCATTGCACATCATGAACTGGATGTCCATAGATATATTAAATTCGGCATTTCCAAAACTAAACTCATTCTCTTCTCCCCCTACCCCCCAAAAACCCTCCCCTCTTCCTACCTTCCATAATACTGTTGAGGGTGCCACCATTCTCCTTGTCACCCAGGCTTACTATGCAGGGGTCGTCCTTGATGCCTCACTCTCCCTCCCCACTGTATCCAATCTGTTGCCAACACCTGTCAGTTTTTGTCTTAGTAACATCTCTTACATGTGCCCCTTTTTCTTCTCTGACTCCCACCCTACTGCTGACACTTACTACTTCATGCCTGGATTGTTGAAATAGTCTGCTGGTTGGTCTGCCTACCACAAGTATTTTCCCATTTCAATCCATCCTCCACTCAGTTTTCAGAGTGAATCTTCCTAAAGCACAGGTCTGACCAAATCTCTGCTATTCAGTAAACTCCAGTGGCTCTCTATTACCTCCAGAGTCAAAAATAAAATTCTGTATTTGGCATTCAAAGCCCTTCATAATCTGGCTGCACTTGCCTTTTCAGTCTTATATCTTATACCTCCTCCACCCTCTTCCACCTACTCTGATCCAAGACACTGACCTTCTTGCTGTTCCTAGAACAAGACACTCCATCTAATAATGACTAGGCATTTTCACTGTCTTTCCCCCATGCCTGGAATGCTCTCTCTTATCTCTGCCTCTATGCTTCCTAGCTTCCTTTAAGTCCCAGCTAAAATACCAACTTCTACAGGAAGCTTTTCCCTATCCCTTGTAATGTTAGTGCCCTTTTCCTTTTGATTTATCCCATTTTATCCTGTATATAACTTGTTTGTATATAATTGTTTGCTTATCCATCTTTGGCTTTTCTTTGTATCCCCAGTGCTTAGCACAAACTCAACATGTCCAAAACAGAGCTCATAATCTTTTCCCCTAAACTGACCCCTCTTCCAAATTTCCCTCGTGCCTCTTAAAGCTACTTTTTTTTGTTTTTTCTCAATCTCCTATATTCTTAACCCAGGCAATATCCTGGCTTGCTGTTTCATCTTCCATGGTATCTCTCAAATCTGACCCCTTATTCCGACTTATACATTATCATTTTGGGTCAAATTGTACTCAATAACCATGTCACTGTCCTGCTCAGTAAAACTCCAGGGGCTCCCTGTTGCTTCTAAGAGAAAATATAAACTCTGCTTTTTAGCTTTTAAAGCCCTTCATAACTTAGCCCCAACAAAAAACATTATAGATGACTCTTCTTATTGTTGAGATGTAGATGCTACGGGTGCTGGAACCCCAAAATCATGACATGCGAGTCCTGCCTGAATGAATTCTACCCAAGTCTTCTTTCAGCCAAAGGCAAGGTTTTATTAGAGATGAACCATACAGGTCAGACTCTTAAGGAATCTGAACCTTAGTGAAGCCCCTAAGGATGAGTGGGCATGAGGAAATCTCAGCATTTAAATGGGGGCCAGGATGAATCTTATATACAGTCAAGTAATTTGGGGTTTTAGGAGGAGGGGCTGGGAGGAAGATCCTGAAGCTGGGGTGACTGGGGGAGGAGTTTAGGGAGAATCCCAATGGGAGTGTGTGGGAGGCTGAATGGGATCTTCCGTGGAGGGCTAGGCTTTATTAGGGTAACTAAGAACTGGAAGGTAGGGAAGGAAGAGGTTGAATGAGGTCTGGATAAGATCAAAGATGGGAAATATACTAGGCTTCTTTAGGGTATCAAAAGGAGATAGGGCCTAGATGATAAGGCCAGTTAATAGGAAAAAGATTAAGAGATAAAGAAAGACCAGTTGAGTGGATTATAGCCTCAGGCAGTACTTGAGACCAAATTTGTGAGGTCAAAGAAAGTTTAAGGGTTTTCTGGGGCCCTTAGACAAATGGGATCCAAATTCTTTTTGGGATGAGGGGCAAAATTCTTGGCTTGGGCCCATACCCCATCATTACCACTCTTTACAGTCTAGGCAAAGTGGCATTCTCTCTGCTCCTCAAACATAATACTACATCACCCTCAAACACAACACCCATTTCCCTTCACCTTACCTCTGCTCTGGCTGTCCCATAAACCTGGATTGTACTCCCTCCTTACCTCTGCCTCACAGAGTTCCTCTCTTCTAGACTCTATTGAAGTACCACTTTCTCCTACGTGAAGCTTCTTCTGATCCCCATCTGCTAGCGCCTTTCCTCCTTTGTATTTATTTGTGTTTATCCTGTGCTTCATATTTATTTGTAATTATTTTCTTTATATTTTGTCTATCCTTATTTGTCCTCAGTGGAATATAAGCTGCTTGCAAATGAAGATTGTGTCTTTCTTTGCATTTGTATGAGCCTTGCATGACTTGTTGAAGGCACTTAGTAAGTATGCTTACTTACTTACTTACACTGATATGCAGTGCAAACGTTTTTCCCTTCTATTGTTTCTTTCCTAATTCTATCTAAAATTTATTTGTGCAAGAGCTTTTAAATTTTATGTAATCAAAATTGCCTGTTTTGTTATTATGATCTCCTTCATCCTTTGTGTAGTTAGGAATTTTCCTATCCATGGTCACTAAAAGTAACAGATCTCATGTTCTTATAATTTTTTATGTGGTATGACCTTTTTAATTTAGTCTCATATCTGCTTTAGATTCATGTAGCCTGTGGCTGCAGTTTTCTCATGAAAATCAGGGGATGGACTACATGACCTCTAGAGTTTCTTCCAGCTCTGATCTATGGCAATAAAGTACAAGATGTTGGTCTCTTCTGACGAACTGCTTTAATGTTTTTTCAACAGTTCTTGTCAAAAAGAGGACTTCTCCCAGTAACTGATATTCTTAAGTTTATCAAATGCTAGGCTCCTGTTTTTGATTGCTGCTGCTGCTTGTTTATTTAATCTGTTCCACTGCTCTCCTTTGTTTCTTAATCACTATCAGGTAGTTTTGATGACTCTAGTTTTATAATATGATTTAAGATCTGCTAATAGTAAGCTTTCTTCATTCTTAATTTTTTTCATTATCTGTATTAAGATTCTATGCCTCATGTTTTTCCATATGAATTTTGCTGTATTTTGTCTAGTTTTTTTTATTATCCCCCTTGTAATATGTTATTAACAATAAATCTATAAATTGTATTGTGTTGTCATTTTTGTTATATTGGCATGACATACCTATGAGCAATGAGTATCCTGTCATTTTTCTCCCTTTATTTTTGTATGTGCTTCAATAAATTGAATTATCAGGCAGTAGCACCTACTATGTGCCGGTCACTATGCTAAGCACAGAGGATACAAAGAAAGGTAAAAAATAAAAGACAATCTGCTGTGAAGAAGTTCAATCTAATTAGAGAGACAACATGCAAAAACTATGTGCAAACAAGCTATAGAAGGGAAAATTAGAAATAATCAACAAGTAGGGCACTAAAATTAAAGGGGATTGGATGAGGCATTTTGTAGTTATTTTGAATGAAACTTGTTTTTATTGATCTCATAAACTACAAGTCTAGACTAGTGTAGAATAGGGGACAGACTACTGAACTTGGAGTTAGGAAGATCTGACAAACAAGATATATGCCAGATAAATTAGAAGTAATTTCAGAGGGAAGGCATCAAGGTTAAGGAGGACTGGGAGAGTCTCCTGTAGAATGTGCAACGTTAGTTGAGACTTAAAGGAAGCCGGGAGTCAAAAATGAAGAAAAAGAGAGTTCCGCATATGGTGGATAGCCATACCAGTTAGGACATGGTATGTTGTGTGGGAGGAACAAGGGTTACATGATGTCTGTCCTGTTAGAATGTAAGCTCCTTTAGGAGAGGGACTGTTTTGCTTCTACTTGAATCCACAGGGCCTGGCAACATAGCAGGCACTTAATAAATGCTTATTTACCTGACTTGTGATGACCAAATGAGACAATATATAAAGATACCTTTGCAAATCTTTAAGACACTATATAAATATTAGTTATTATCATTATCGTTGTTATTACTTTGGCTTTTCAGATCCATTGTTGAATCAGGTCAAGTATAAGCCATGACATCTTTTTCATAAAAAGTAAAAACTGGCTTCTTCAATTTCTCAGATGTTGCTTTGTTTTCATCCAGGCTTTGTCAACCTTGGACTCCATCACTCTGATGTATCCTTTCTTTTACCGGCCCATGTTTGAAGTGGTAGAAGATGGCTGGCATACATTTCTTCCTGAAAGAGAATTTGAGCTCTTCTCCTCAGTTGTAAGTCACTTTTCAAGAATCATGCCTAATTGAGGTTCAGAGTGCTGCCCTTTGAAATGTACCCCTTATTCATCTTTTTAAAAAAAGAGGGTAAACTGATTTCCTTGAACCCTCAAAAAGACTTTTGTAATAAAAGTATGAATTAACCCTTTGTCATTTAGAAATAAATCTGTTAGTTCCAAATAGAGAAGTTTAACTTATTTTCTTCCAGTGGGGGTTAACTTTACCCTGAATATGTTATGTGCCATTTTATATAATTTTTCAGAGTACCAGTGGAGAATGTGGGCTGTCCAGTAGTTACACTGTTGCTCTTACCCACAAATTTTCTTTCTAGTCATCCTTTTCTTTGATGATAATACTCACCAGTCTTTAGTGGTATTTCCTATAGCTAAGAGCTCTTAGTTTCCATGGAGAGTTTCAGTATTACACTGTTTAACTTACAGTGACTGTCTTTGCAACACAGGAAAATATTTTGCAAGAAATGAGCTCTTGGTTTGGTGGTGTGTGTTTGTTTTTGTTGTTTTTTTTTTTAAGAGCACCTGTATTACATATTATTATTATGAATGAGGAAGACAGTATATGCAGCAGCTGGGTGATGCAGTGGATGGAGCATTCAGCCTGGAGTCAGGAAGACCTCTGAGTTCAAATGTAGCCTGAGATACTTACTGGTTGTGTGATACTGCCTCAATTTCCTCTATGGTAAAATGGGAATAATAATAATAGCACCTACCTCACAGAGTTGTCGTGTGGATTAAATGAGGTAATATTTGTAAAGCACGTAGCACAGGCGTTTAGCCTGGAACATAGTAAGTGCTCTATAAAACGCTTATTCTCATCTCTTTCTTTAATATAGCCATGTCGATGCTTAATTACTGATCTAAGTCTAAAAGACTGGTATTTTTTTGTTTTGTTTTCTTTTAAACTGATAGCTCCTTTTGAGGCATTTCATCAATAGAAAATGTTAATTTTTGATGCAGACTCAAATTTGATTTTGAGGTTTTGTAATTCTAATTTCTTGATCATATTAAAAAAACCACTTAATGCTGATTTGTATGAGCAGATCACAGCAAAACTATCTAACATTTTCTTGCTACTGGATGACGTATAATAGAAGAGTTGCCTTTAATTCCAATAAATCATGAAGGTCAATATTATTTGAAAATTCTTTAGTGTTAGAACAAAGGGAAATACTCAGTAATTATAGTAACCCTAAACCTCTAAGAAATGTACTTCATTTCAATCTTAGTGTGAAACCTGGGGGATGACCTAATCAGCACTAAGATACCTGTTTGATATAATTTTAGCAATTCAGTCCCTGACCTGCTACAAATAATATTAAATTGTCTTTATAGCTAACTTAACAATGAAAGATAAGAAAAAGAGGGCAAAGTGGAGAATATATTAGGTAAAAATTAAAGTTTAAGAGTTTCCACAGTAGAAAAAGTAGAAATGAAATGATATAGTTCCTTAGTGATGATAAAAGAAAAATATGAAGACTTAAATAGGAAAATAAGATTTAAATAAGTTTTTTTCTGTAATTTTATATTACTCAGTGCTTGCCAGATTTTTCTTAATTGTCTTGGTCTAGTGAGGTCACTTATGACCTAAGTGTTGTGAATTGGAGATTAATATTTTTTATGATAAAGAAACTTTGAGGAGGGGAGCCTTTTAAAATCTCTTGCTAATTTATTCTCTTTGATTACGCTCACCTCCAAGTTATATTTCTCAGAGTGTAGATATTTTTCTTACCCAGTGGGTAACCTATAGGCCAGAACTGTCTGATTTGTGAACATATATCATAATCCTTTATGAGCTTATACCTACAAAATGAAATACACTTTTAATTCACGTAATTCATTTGTATTCTTTCTTTCAAATCTAAATGGAGTTCGTAAAATTTTAATTTTTTGAAGACTAGTGGGAGATAAGATAGTTGAAGATCGGCCATACAGAAGGGGAAGCAGATTTGTTTGGTATTTGCATAGAAAGCTTGGTCAGAACGAGTAAGTTGGAGTGACCAGGACAGATTTGGCTCAGCATTCAAGTCAGTACAGCTAGCCGGAGAACAGGTTTTGAGAGGGAGGAGAGAGCTGCTCTCTCCCCAAGGTGTATTGAGGCAGAGATAGGAAAGCATAGAAAGAAGTCCTCCCAAATAGAGTTTTGGATTGGAAATCTGTTGTGTCACTTCTACCTCTTATGATGCTTTTATTCTGTGATATTTAGATTTTGGCTCAGGCATGAAAGGTTCTCATTTGTATTTTACAGACCAATGAATGGAGGCTGAGCTACGTCAATAAAGATTTTACCGTCTGCCCCTCTTACCCTCCGATTGTCACTGTGCCCAGCTGCATTGATGATGAGGCCCTCAGGAAAGTGGCTACATTTCGTCATGGTGGGCGCTTCCCAGTACTTAGTTACTACCATAAAAAAAATGGAATGGTAAGTACAGTTTGGCTTTTTTGTTCCCTGAAGAACCTCATACTTTTCATGACAATTGGCATTGCCCCCTCCTAACCCTTTTACATTTCTATGATTATCTAGGCCGGGGGTGAGCAAACCAGCCTAAGGATCAATCCTGCTGAGCCCATGAACTGAGACTGATTTTTATTTTTATTTTTTTTAATGTTTTATTGTATTTAAAGAGGTAAAAACCAAGGTTCCTACCTCATGAGCAAATCTGGCTCTCTGGCCATAGTTTTCTCACCCTTGCTCTAGATCATTTCTACTCTTAGCTTCCAAATTTGGACTTTAGGGCCAACTGCAGACTGCTGTGGTCAAGGTATACTTTTTGATCCATTCTCCACTTCTCAAGCTCAGAAAATCAGATTTTGTTCACTTTAGGGCACAGCACAAAAAACTACCCTTTAAGAGGCCTGGCCAAGTGAGTAAACTGCATTCGATCTGTTATTAGTTTTAAGAAACTGATGTAATGATTTAAAGCTGTTTTCAAGTATTGTAATTATTAGAGTTATGTAGTGCTGTAGGAAACAGTTATCCTAAATACAACAAATGGATAATTTTCCTTTTCCTAAAGTAGACATTATCCTATGGGTACAAATTCATGTGAAAGGAGTATTTGTGATGGTTGATGTTATCTTTTACTACTTCACAATCTTCATTGAAGACAGTGGGCTGGTAAGAAATGTTCATGTGTATGTGTATGTGTTTTCTAGTCTAGTGTAAAGGATGTTTTCTAATTGAATAATGCTTACCTGTAAGGAGTGCAAAGATACTCTTTCCATTTATCTCACAGATGGTTATATGGTGAAAAATATAAACTGGGCGTGTGTGTGTGTGTGTGTATTTTTTTTCCAGTTTTAACTTCATTTGCCGTAAAAATAAGTCACTATCAAAATCAGAACCAGAACATGTGTCTTTTGACTTCTATTCCAGAACCTGAGAAGCAGCATGGGTATAATGGGTAGAGAGCTGGCTTTGAAGACAGGAGGACCTGGGTTTGAGTTCCTCCTCTGATACATGGGGGCAGTGGTGGCTGTGTGACCCTGGACAAGTCACTTAATATCTCAGTATACTAAGCAAGTCTTTAAGACTATAAGTTTCAGAGAAGGTGCCAATCTGCATTGATAGAAGGAGTTTCCTCTCCTGGGAGTTCCCTACACCAAGGAAATCACAGGTCCAGTCCCATTTCCTGTCCAAAGCTTAGTAAATAATTAGGTGTAATGCTTTCTCAGCTTTTTCTAAACCATACTGTTTGAACTCTGGCTTTCCTCCTCCTCTCGCAAGAACTCAGATTCCTTTGGACATGTTATATTGAATTTTTTTCAGTTCAGCTACTAACTCACCTCTTCATTTGTCAATTCTGCGGTCTCTTCTTGAAATTTTTAACTCTGTCTGTTCTAGGTGATGATCCGGAGTAGTCAGCCACTCACAGGCACCAATGGGAGACGATGCAAAGAAGATGAAAAACTTATAAATGCTACCCTTCGAGCAGGAAAACGAGGCTACGTTATTGACACCCGCTCTCTAAATGTGGCTCAACAAGCTAGAGCTAAAGGGGGTGGTTTTGAGCAGGAGGCTCATTATCCTCAGTGGAGACGCATTCACAAGTCCATTGAGAGGTAAAACCTACTGGAGAAGGTAATATAGAGTCTTTTAAAATAAAAGGTAATTGTGACAGGTGCATTCTTAGCTAGTTAGAAATTGCTTGTTCAAACCCCATTCATACTTATTTTAAAGACCCAAAGTTGTACTGATGACTCTCTCTCTCTCTCAGTCTTTGATGAAATGGGAAGTGATAAGAGAACATCCCAGGTGTTAAGGTTATTTTTATCCTTCCTTTTCTGAATCAGCCTTATGCTCATTACCACAAAATCTGCCCCTGAGCCAGTTGTATTGTGGTCAGTCTTGATGATCTTCAGACATGACTGTTAATGAATTCCAAAGTTGTAAGACATAAATTTTACATATGTGTGTTATTATTGTGTCCCGCTCACCTACTTTTGTATTTAACTAACTTCTTGCCTCTTGTCTGTCTTTGCTAAAATTTCTGAATAAACTTATGAAAGCCACTGACCCAGACATCTGGTACTGATAGGCATTGGAGCCTGGAGAACATCAGGGAAGTCTGAAATAGCTATGGTTGCCTAATGGTTGGGCTGATGGTCCCAGGCCACTGAGGGAGCACTGGACCTTTGCTTAAATCTAAGTTGCAGAAAATTCTTCACAAATGGTTCAGAATGACAGGTTTTATCTAATGCATTTGAGCACTTGTGCAGATTTATTTTGGTATTGGTACTTGGATCCTTATTCTTAGTGGTGGTGATTTATGACAGAACTGATAAGGCTATAATAGATGAAGTTGAAGCTTATGTATGTTAGCCTCCCTCCAGGGGTTTAATAGCTTGTGTGACTATGAGCAGTTGACTAAATCTCTCTGAGCCCCAGTTTCCTTATGTATAATATATGAATAATAATAGTACCTGGGGAGGGAGAAGTAGGAAACAAGCAAACATTTACTAAGTACCTAGTATGTTCCAGGTATTTTACTAAACCGGGGGTGGGGAACCTGCAACCTCAAGGCCACATGTGGCCCTTTAGGTTCTCAAGTGCGACCCTTTGACTGAATCCAAACTTCACAGAACAAATCCCCTTAAAAGGATTTGTTCTGTAAAACTTAGACTCAGTCTAAAGGCGACATCCAAGGACCTAGAAGGCCACAGGTTACCTCAAGGCCACAGGTTCCCCACCCCTATACTAAATTCTTTACAAATATTATCTCATTTGATCCTTAAAACAATACTAGGAGGTGGATGCTGTTATCATCCCCCATTTTACTGATGAAGAAACTGAGGCCGTCAGATTAAATGTTCACACAGTTAGTGTCTGAGACTGGATTGAACTCAGGTTTGGTGCTCTGTCTACTGTGTCACCTCACTGCCCACAGGGTAGTTGTGATTATCGTCAAAGAAAAATATTCATATTGTGCTATGCATTTTAGGCACAATTTTGCCAGAAGCAATTTTATTAACTTAACATTATTCTAAATCCAAGCATTTCTAGCTCCGAGCAAGAAACATCCAAACTAACATAGTCCCCCCATGCATCTCTCTACCACAAGACAATCTGAGATAGCATAGGAATGTTGAACAAGGTAAAGGTCACATTCTGTGTAACATTAACAGTCACTTAATGTTCTCTTAGAATTATTCATTTCTTTCTTTGCCCTCCCCATCTAGTGTTCTCCTGGAGTAATCAGAGGGACCTCCCTGAGTTCAGTACCTTAATCCCTTCAGGAGAGAAAAGAGGGAGCTGCCCTTCCATGGGTCATAATTCTCATCCCTTTAAGGAATAAAGAAGGCAGTCATCTTAACTAAAGAAGGGGTTTTTTTTTGTTCCAAGTCTGGTTGCCATTTTTCCAGAGCCTTAGCTTTTTGATGATTTACACATTTTCCTAAAGAGAAAAGAACTTTAAACTAGAGTGAGTGATCTTTTCATTTTTGGTATCATGGAGCCCTTTCCTAACCTATGGGACCCCTTCTGAACATAATGTTTTTAAATTCATAAAGCAAAATATATAGGATTACAGAGGAAACCAAATATATTGAAATATATAAAAATATTTTGAAAGTTTATAGACCCCCAGTTAAAAATCCCTATTACTAGAGAAATGTTTATTTCTTAATATTTTCAGTTGAACTAAAAAACATTTTTAATGTGCTTCTACATTATCAAATGAGATAATGTATGTAAAATACCTTGTAAACTTTAAAGTGCTTTGTAAAAAATCAACTATTTTTTAATAACAGTCTGAGTTGTTTATTTTTGTTTTCCCTAAAAGGTATCATATTCTTCAGGAGAGCTTGATAAAACTTGTAGAAGCCTGTAATGACCAATCACATAACATGGACCGGTGGCTTAGCAAATTAGAGGCTTCTAATTGGTTGACTCACATCAAAGAGATTCTAACCACCGCTTGCCTGGCTGCTCAGTGTATTGACAGGTAAAGTGCATCTCTGGAATCTTTCATATGACTCTTCTTGTTAACTAGACCAGCGCTTCTAAAACTGTGGATCACAACCCCGTGCGGGGGTCACAAAAAATTTGGCAGTAGTAAAAGGTTTCTGAAAGCTCAATGACTAAAAATTAATTATAAATCAAATGTGTAATGAATCAATGGTGTTTCTGGCAGTGCTTGCCCATGTTGCATTGTGCAACTTCACTGCAGCCTTGATTCTGAACACTCAGTGTGCCTAATTTGCACTGTGCATGCCTTCAAGCCACACAACACCAAGAAATGCTGGGGAAGAAAAGGGGTTGCCAGTAGAAAAAGTTTTAAGAAGCCCTGGACTAGATCTTGATTTATATAAGAATATAGGCAGAAAACATGTTTCTGTTGGCATTCAACTCTGTGTCTGGTTCAAGTCATAGTTTCCCTCTTTATATCATGTGCTACACAAGGCAACATCATCAACAAAAATAATAATGATAATAATAGTGAGCAGTAACATTTTTAAGATTTGTTAAAGCAATTTACAAATAGTATCTCACTTTATCTTCTAACAACCTTTTGAGGTAGGTGCTATGAGGAAACTGAGGAAGACAGAAGTTAAGTGAATTGCCCAGGGTCACAGAACTAATAAGTGTTTGCTGTATCCACGGCACTACCTAGCTGCAAGTAGTTTGTTTCCTTTAGAAATAAATGAGATATTTGTGTATGCAGACCTGCATATACAGGGTGTTCCAGAAAGTCTTAACGCCATTTTAAATTTTAAATAAGTTATTAAGTAATAACTTGTTAAAGCTTAAAACAGCATTAAGACTATTTAAAACATCCTGTATACACTTACTATTTGCAAAACCAGTTTCTTAAATGGGAGAAGAAAAGAGAAGGAATAAGCATCTATATAGTGCCTATTATGTGCCAGACACTGTACTAGGCTCTTTTTATAAATATTATCTCATGGGATCCTCACAATAACCCTGTGAGATAGGTGCTATTATAATTCCTATTTTACAATTGAGGAAACTGAGGCAGACAGCGGTTAAGTGACTTAAAAACCTATTAATGTGCCAGACCCTGTGCTAGGCACCAGGAATACAAGTACAGAAATGAAATAAGGAAGACCAGCAAAGTTGGTGGAGTAGGAAGAATCTGAAGTAGTACAACTCCAGCCTCAGAAACTTAACTAGTTGTTTGATCCTGGGCAAGTCACCTAACCACTGTCTGCTTAAGTTTCCTCATCTGTAAAATTGGCATAATACCTCCCTCACATAGTTGGTGCAAGTTTCGCATGAGATGATATTTGTAAAGCATTTAGCACAGTGCCTGAAACATAGTAAGCACTTAATAAGTGCTTGTTCCCTTCCCAGCTCTCCTCCTTAACTACTCCAACAAAGATCTGGATTGAATACCAGACTGAGTAGGGATTGGAAAATACAAGAAGAAAAAAAAACCACAGTAATTTTTTCAGCTTGGGTCAGGATAGGGGAGTATACTGCTTGTGGGCACTAGGAAAGGGGGCCATTCAGGAAGGTCCTACACAAAGCCTTCTCGCACAGGAACTGCACTGGGACCTGTAGCTGTTTACTATAGCAAGGAATGGTCATGGATACCTCAGACTGGGCCTGATTTTGCAGGGAGAGTGCATAGGAGACGACCAACAGCTATGAGACTTTGACCCTGGAGCTGAATCTCAGATTCAGCCTCAAGCCCAATCTGAGGTGCAGTTGAAACAGCAGGGACCTGAGACGAATGGGGAGTCTGCAACTCTGTTCCACTGAACACACAGAGTGTTCCAGAGCTAGCTAACAAGGCCTGGGACAAGCAGCATTTTGCTGGAATTCCAACCTGGGCAAGTCTGCAATTGTCTCTCAGACCCAATCTGCAATCAGGAACTTGAAAGTTCAGACCAGAAGGACAGTAATAGATGCACTGTTTCCATGTTTATTAACTCTGAAATTCCGTTATCTGATCACTTTTTTGTTATTCCACCTTTACCTGTGCTGTGTAACCCCAGACTTTGCTTTTCATCCAAACCAAGACCTCCAATTCCTCTATTCCATGTTTTTTCCAAACCATCACCCCTGTACTAACTATACTCTCTTCCCTTTCCTAATTTTGACCCCTTGGTAAAACAGTCCAACTCTACATTGACCAATTCTCTCGAGACCCTTTTCCCCCTTATCCTATTGCTGATTTTGCCCTGTTAAGCCCTCAGTCTTCGATTTCACCCACCATCTACTACCTTAACTCCTGTACTAGAATTAACAGCTTAATATAAGAGTTATAAAACTTTACCTGAGTATCAGTTTCCTTGAAAATTAGAATGAACCAAAAATAGGTTAATAACTCCCATGACACAAGAAATATTACAGTCAAAAGACTTTTAAAAAAAAAAAGGAAATATATTTCTTATAAAAACAATTGACATGAAAAATAGATCAAGAAGAGAGAATTTAAGAATCATTAAACTACCTGGAATTGATAATAATTTTTTTAAAAAAGAGCCTGGGTACTATATTTCTAGAAATCATGAAAGAAAACTTTTGAGATCTGTTAGAACCTTGTGAAAATAGAAACCCCCATATTAAAACTTTCAGGAACATATTAACCACATGCCAGAACTTCCAGGTCATAGAATAAATACTGAAAGTATTTGTCAGAAAAAAATTCAATAAACATTTATTAAGTGCCTACTATGTTCCAGGCACTGTACTAAGTGCTGAGGATACTATTAATACAGATAATTCCTGCCCTTAAGGAGCTTACAATCTATTGGGGGGAGACAATACACAAAAAGAGGCAGGAGAACAGGGTGAGGGGGTGGACACCAGGGATACCAGGTACAGTTGCATCATGTTCAGTGGATGCAGAGCTGCAGATGCAAAGTAGAATGAAAAGAGTCCAAATGCAATGGAGCCACACCCAGGATCACACTCGATTTAGCAGCCACTATTATAGAGAGCAGAGAGTTTGAAATACATTATTCCAAAACACAAAACATAAGACTTATAACCAATAGCAATTTACCCCAAAACCCAAATATCCTATGGGGAAAATGGGTCTTTAGTTAAAGAGAGGATGTCCAAGCTTTCCTGATGGAAGGAGGAACTTTGAAATGCAGACAAGGAATCAAGAGAAGCATAAAAAGTGGTTCCTTGGCTAACCTTTGGAATCATGGCCTTCTGTTCTTAGAGAATAGGCTGAGCAGTAGAACATGTATGAGGAGTATGTGCTATTCCAACCAAGAATAGCCATCCTAAGAGTACTTTGTACTTTATAAGACATCCTCTGAGGAGCCTAGAGTAGTTTAGAGATTCAGCTTGTGTTGATTATGTAAGACAGAAAAAGACAATTGTTTTATTCTTTACTTCTGCCTTTGCCCTTATTTTGATGTGTGACCTTGAGAAAGTTTAGTTCTTATTCAGAAAATTGGAGTTGCACCATTTCCCCACACAGAGTTCCTTGCAGCGGAAAAAAAAAACAAAACACCAAAACTTTACCTTGACCTTCTTGCACTTGCCAGACTGTGTGATCATCCTCTACTTTTGACTCTAGGAGCTTGCCAGTAGCACTGAAGTTGATATAATTAACCCCTTTTGCCTAGAAACATCAGAGCATTTAATGTGGCTGCTTACTTATTGCATCTGTTATGTGTATATTAGACATTTTTCCTAAGCATAAAGGGAAATACGACAAAGAGTTAAGGTTGGAGGATGTTCTAGTGGAGGGTTTGTTTGTATCCACATAAAAGCCTTATTAAGAAAAAAAATTAAGTTGGAGCAACTGAAATTATGTATTGGACTTAAGATACCGATAGCTATTAAGTGTCTGGTAATACTTGGAAGAAAAAGGTGTATTATCTGTTGTTCATGGAAAGACAGGTGCCGTGCCTGACAAACACTCATGGACAATTTTATACAAAGTAACTATCTGGTATAGCATATGGTTTGTATCTTTGCTTCATCCAAATACAATCAATTGACTTAAAACATTGATAGGATTTTGCTATGCAGATTAAAACTCCTCACAGATGAAAGTTTTACCTGGAATTTCCACATCATCTGCATTGTATGAGTAATGGCAGTGAGGAAGCATCAGATCTTCCACACTAGCATCAAAAAGCACCAAATTAAATGATCAGATGGATATGTTATCAGTGAAAATGAGCAGGAATATTGGTGAACTGTGCTAAAAATATTGTCTTTAAAATGGCCAAGGGAAATAAAGCCTAAACTTTTTAACAAGAAGAAGAAAAAAAATGATCCCTGCTCTTAAGGAACTTATATTCAAAGGTGGTGCTTGAACTGAATCTGGAAGTAAAAGAGGAGCTGCTGAGGCAAAGGTGAGAATGTTGTAGATTCCAGGTGTGGGGGGTGGCCAGTACCAAGGTAAGGAAAGGGGAGATTCAGTGTCGGGTTTGAGAAACAGACTGACCAGTCTGGCGGAATTACTGAGGGAAGAAGGGAATCATGTCTCATGAAGCTGGAAAGATAAGTTAGGGCCAATTTGTGAAAGATTGTAAAAGCTAAACAGAATAGTTTAGATTTTTATCCTAGAGGCAATAGAAGTCACTGTAATTGACTGAGTTAAGAGAGCAGTTTAGTCAGATCTGAATTTAAAGAAAGTTGATTTGGTGGCAGTGTATGGGATGGACTAGAGGGGTGAGAGACTTGACGCAAGGAGGCCAAAGAGGAAGCTATTGCAGTAATTTTAGATGAACAGTGATAGGGCTTGAACTAAGGTTGTAATTGTGTGAAGAAAAAGAAGGAATCAGATGTAAGAATGTTGTAAGGACACCTGACGCTTACTAGCTGTGTGACCCTGGGCAAGTCACTTGACCCTGATTGCCTCACCAAAAAGCAAAAAAAAAAGTTGTAAGGTAGAAAATGCAAAATTTGGCAACCATTTGAATATGTAGGTTAGAGTAAGGAGTCAGATGATACCATGTCTACAGACCTGGAAGACTGGAAAAATGGTGGTTCCTTTGACATAAACGGAAATTTGAAGAGGCAAATGGTTTAATGGCGAGACAATTGGTTCCATTTTGGATGTTTTGAATTTCAGATGTCTCCAGGATATACAGTTTGAAATGTGCAGTAGGCAGTTGGTTATGTCGGACTGAAGCTTGGGGAGAGACTTAGGCTAGATATATCTATTGATCTGGGAGTTATTTGCCTAGAAAAAATTAATTAGATCCATGAGAGCTGCTGAAGTCTCTGAGAGAGATCATAGAGCGAGAATAGGGTCTAGGATAGAATCTTGGGGAATACAGTTAGAGGAATGATATGAATGATGAACCAATAAAGGGTATTGGGGAGGAGTAGACAAGTAAGTAGGAAGAAAACCAGGAGAGAGTAATGTCATGAGAATCTAGAGAGGAGAGAGAATTCAAGAGGAGAGGGTCATCAGCAGATAGATGGAGAATGATTAGGGCTGAGAAGAGACCATAAGGTTTAGCAGTGAAGAGAACACTGGTAACTTTGAAGAGAGCCATTTCAGTTGAATAAGGAGGTCAAAAACCAAGTTACAAAAAGTCGGGTAGGGGAAGAAGCAGAAACAACTGTTTATGTGAAGTGAAATCACATCTTCCAATTAATGACATACCAACTGAAAATTGAGATAAAAGACTTAGTGGCTGATTAGTAAAAACCATTGTGAAAGTCTGTAATTCTCAAAATGGAAACATCTTCTCAAATAAAAGTAATCATTACCACCATGATGCTGGAATGGCACCTTTCTCTACATTTCTTTGAAAATCTCAAAAGATCCCTTTGATCCAGCAATACCATTTCTAGGTCTGTATCCCGAAGAGATCATAAAAATGGGGAAAAGAACCACGTGTACAAAAATATTTATAGCAGTGCTTTTTGTGGTGGTCAATAATTAGAAATTGAAGGGATGCCCATCAATTGGGGAATGGCTGAACAAATTGTGGTAAATGAATGTAATGGAATACTATCATGCTATAAAAAATGATGAGCAGGTGGACCTCAGAAAAACCTGAAGGACTTATATGAACTGATGCTGAGTGAAGTGAGCAGAACCAGGAGAACATTGTACACAGTAACAGACACATTGTGTGATGACTAACTCTTATAGAATTTTTACAAGGATCTGAGACAACTCCAAAAGATTCATGATGGAAAATACTATACACATCCAGAGAAAGAACTTTGGAGTCAATGCAGATCGAAGCATACTATTTGCTCTTTTTTTTCCCTCTGTTTTGTTTTGTTTCTTCTGATGGTTCTTCCCATTTGTTCTAATTCTTCTTTATAACTTGACTAATGTGAAAATATAAGGTATATGTAGAGCCTATATCAGATTGCATGCCGTCTTGGGGAGGGGGAAGAGGAGAGGGGGGAGAAAATTTAAAACTCAAAAGCTTATGGAAGTGAATGTTGAAAACTAAAAATAACTTAGTTAACTAAAAAAAAGAAAATCTCAAAAGATAATGCTTTTGAAATCACAAAGTGAATACTGTCAAGTTAGGAGGAAATATTCATATTTTAGAGAAAAAATTGTTATACAAATAGTTAATTTCCTTTTTAGGGAAAAATGTACTCAGGAAAATATGAAAATAAAGCTAAGCACTAAAATTCAGTACTAGTAGAGTTGAGACAAAATGATCAGATCATGTGCCTTATGTAGTTAAGGATTTTTCCTTAAATAAGTGAAGTCTTTATGTATATGGAGTCCTTAAAGGCTCCATATACAGCTATTTATTTCTGCTTTTAACTTGCAGGTATAGAATTATTTAATTTGTTGATGGTAGTAATTAGATGGAATTGAATGTTAGCAGTGGAAAATGTGACAATAAATGTGTAAATGAAATGACTGCCTAGAAATTAATAGAGATAATATGAAACAAATTTGTTTTTCATTATATAGTATATTCTTTTTTTTAAAATGTACTTATAATGAGTTAGCAAATGCAGAAATTAGTAAAAAAAGATTACTTTTGTGTTTCATCTTACTGGTTATTTCATACTAAAAATATGAAATTGAAAAACAGTTCATCAATGCCATATTTTGGCTCCCTTGGTGAATTTCATTTATGATATGTAACTAAATTTAGACATATAATTCATTACTAAGGTATAAATACACACTTGACTATAATTGAATTAAATTAGAGATGGCGTATTGGCATTAAGATCTTGGAACATCTTGGATCTGTGGTCTTGGAACATCTTATTTTGATATACCTATGTATATATTTATTTATAAGTGTGCCTCTAAGTTAATGAAATATTTGGTGTTTTCATTGCCATTTCCTTTCTCCCCACTAGATTTACAGTAAACATTTTCCTCCGAACAGCAGTGGTGGTTAAGGGCTAAGGGCACCAGGTTTGATCCCAGAAGAACTGAGTTCAGATCCTAGCTTTGCCACTCACTAGTTTTGTAGTCTTAGGCTCTGAAGTGTAATTTCCTTATCTGTAAAGTGGGAAGCATAATACTTGTACAACTTCCTCACAAGCATTGTGTGAAGAAGGCACTTTGAAAGCCTTAAAAAGCTATAGAAATGTGAATTGTAAAATATTTCCCAAAGTAAATTTTAGAAACATCTAAAGATGCATCATAGTAAATATAGCAGGTATGGAGTTAGAAGGCTCCTAGGATTTTGAACTGGAAGGGACCTTAGAAATCATCTAATCCAATTCCTTCACATTTGAAAGATGAGAAAACTATGACCAGAGAGCAGATATCATATGCCCAAAGTCTCTGATCATGGAACCAAAGGTCCTTTGGCTCCAAATCCATTGTCTTATCTGCTATGCCAAAAGGTGAAATCAGAGTCAAGAACAAAAGGGAAATACAGAAAAAGAACTTGAGGGTATATTTCAGAGGAAGAAAACCAAGGCCTGGTGATGTCCTTTTAAAGAAGGGAAAGGAATGAGAGGACCTACTATAAAATTCAAATACCACTAACTTTATCAAGGAAGAAAAATTCAAGTTTGAAAATTGAAGGGGGGCGGAATCTGTGAAATTTAATCACCAAAGAGGCCATTATTTATGAATTTTTGGAAACTTGTTCTATATTTCCCCCTCCCCCTCACTTCCTTCCCTTCCCTGCTCCATCTCAAGAAAAATCTTAGATGTATTTTATCAATCTTATTAAGACCGAGAACCTGCTGGGCTGTGGAGAAGTATACATTGCCTTACAAGTTATTTGCACTCAATAAATGTTTATTGTTAACAGAGTTCATTGAACATGTCGGGAGTATCCCATTTGTGCTCTGGATTTTCCTATCAGGGAAGGAGCATCGGTATTGATTCATGGAACAGAGGGAACTGATTCTACGCTTCAGGTTACCTCCTTGGCCCAGATCATCTTAGAACCAAGATGTAGGACCATCCGTGGTTTTGAGGCTCTTATAGAGAGAGAGTGGCTACAGGTAAGAAACATTATTTGATTCTAATAGAAATTGCCAGAAGTATCTGTATCATCTATTCAAAAGGAATTATCCTTATGTATTGATTTCTTCTTTTTGTAGTAGCTGTCACAATCACAGTATCTATCCCTGCAACATTTTAGATGAAAAACAAGTTTTCTATTTGGTTCCTTGACAGATAATTCCTTTATCTTAATGCCTATTGAATGAATAAATCCAAACTAACAAATAATAGAATGTTTACATAGAAGGCATTGTGTGGGACAAAGAAATACATGACTGTCCCTGTTTTACTGCAGTTTTGTCTAATAAGGTGAAGTGTACATGAATAGCAGAGTACTATAGAAATTAAGCAGAAAGAATTTACTCACTTTGGACTTAGGGTAGAGATGGAAGGAAGGCTATTGCTTGAGCTGGGTGTCTTAAGATAGGTAGGATTCTCCCTGTCTGACTGCTCTTTCTCAGTTTTCTTTGGAGTTCTTTATTATATCTATGCAGATGATTCCCTGGTCTGTATATCTTGCCCTAATCTCTCCTGAACTCTCATCTCCATATTTCTAAGTGTCTGCTAAGTATCTCTACCTACATGGCAACATATCCAAACTTATCCCTCTAAATTTCTCCATTTTATTTGAACAAGGACCTCTGCATTAATTTGCCTTTGGGTCATAAACCCTAGCTATTAATTCCCCCGAAACCTTTGTATATTTTACAAATTTTATCATTTTAATCAGAAATTGAATATTCTGTTCTGCAAAGATGTTCCAAAAAGAGTGTTATTTCAATTTGTTATTATGCAAAAAAATAAAATCTCATACTACAACATGACAGTAATGACCTTACCTTTAGAGTTAATGCTATGAAAAACTATGAAAAAATGCTATAAAACTAGAATTTCTTTGGAGCAAAATTAATCATTTATAATTATAACTCAACCTTATTACAATGTTCTTAATACTGCTATAAATGCCATTCATGTTCTTGACACTAAACTTTGTTATGTTATTATATTATCTTCCCTGTCCCCCCCATCCCTCCCCCCTCCCTTTTGCAATGCTCCAAAAGCATTGTGTAGCCATCTGTTTACCCTCTGATTCAGGTATGATCTTAATAGTTATGGGAATCCCAAGAATTAATAGAAGTTATTTCTGTTTGCTTTGTGTCAACTAATATGATCTAAAACCCCAAACTTTAATAGTTTGTGATAGGTGTTTGCTTTGATGTGTAAGAGTTTGGCTAGTTGAAAGACTAGTCTGCTTTAGGTTCTGATCATGAGGGTAAAAAGCAGAACTCTATGGGCATTATTGATTCTGTGCAATGACTAGAATGTATCATTCAGTTACTCACTTTGGACAGTAGGTGGCAGATTCTTCTGATTATTTCTCCAGACCACTGTTTTCCAAATAGGCCACACAATACTTGAGTTTGTAAAGGGCTCTTTTGAGTGTTGGTCTTGAGAGTATGGGATACCTTTGGATAAAGAAGGTTTGGAAAAATGTTGGAGCTGAACAGAATAAAATAATTCTGTTTTCATGTTTAAAAAAAAATGTAACACTTGGCAATGTTGCATACATCATTTCATGTTTAGTATTTGAGAGGGGGGGAAAGTGTTATTTTTTTCACAGACTCCTGGGTCACATTAACTATCCAGAACATCATGGTTCCTTGGAAGCAGATATACTGCTTTGGACGAATGGGAAAACAACTCCCACAATTTTGCTATTTGATATATGGTCCCACTCTGAAACCAAACTAAAATAACATGGCCACATCTCTTCATGAACTTGGGTTTATTCCTTAGCCATAGTGACAGGTTTGGTTATCAGAAATGACCTGAAACTTAGAGTGTCTAAGGAAAAGCAGAGCTTATAGCTGGCCTTCCATGGAAGGAAATATAAAAGGGAGATGGCAGTCATTTTTTTTCTTTTACCTATAAGGGTAATAGTCTTTTTCTCTTTTTATCTCTTAAGTTTTATAATTCTTGGAATTTGAGGCGTAATGGTAAACTAAGAACAAGGCCTTCTGCATTCATTTGCCTTGGGTAATAACCCCCTAGCTGGTGTTTTAAACATGTTCTCATAAAAAGTACTTCAGACCTACTCATTTCAGCTTATTGTCATGGGATGTGCTCCTGTTCCATTGAATTTATTGTAGATGACAGCATCTTCCAACACTTCCTTGATTTTGGATGGTTGGGAGGTGTTTGAAGGGCATCCTTTTTGATTTTGGATGGTTGGGAGGAAACATCAGTTTTAAACTAAGAAATTGACAAAATCTGATGCCCCCAACCTTCTGTCAAGAAGAATTGCTTTACCTATACAACAGACAGTTGGGGCCTTTTTATCAGTAGTGTAGTCTCTGCTAAGGAGGCGGACTTTCTCATTGAAAGAACCTTCTGGTTCTTTAAAAAAAACCTTTCTGGAAAGGTTTCCCCTCTGAGTTTGCTCTGTGTGTTATTAACAGGCATCTCATCGCAGCTGTGACAGACGTGACAGTAACAACTGCCCTCTAATGTTCTCACTGTGGGGCTTTGCATTATTCTTTACTTCTAGGCAGGCCACCCCTTCCAGCAGCGCTGTGCTCAGTCGGCCTACTCCAACAGTAAGCAGAAGTGGGAAGCACCTGTATTTTTTCTTTTCTTAGACTGCGTGTGGCAAATCCTGCGCCAGTTCCCTTGCTCCTTTGAATTTAATGAACACTTCCTCATCTTGCTCTTTGAGCACTCTTATGCTTCACAATTTGGGACGTTCTTGGGCAACAATGAAAGTGAAAGGTAAGCACATATCTCTGTTCATGGCAGCAGCCCATCTTACATGCTTTGTAGTCCCCAAGATACAAAGACTAAGCTCTGTCTCCTTTTTGTTTTCAAGTTATCACTGTGAATTCAAGTAATTATCCTATACATAATCGTTTGTTACAAAACATGCTACATCCTAGAACACCAAAATGACATGTCCTGTGGGAGTGTATATTCTCAAGTCCTTTGCTTTAATTGGCAGACACACTTGGGATCCCATGAGTGGGTTTGAATTCTTGAGTTCTCTAACATTGCCATTTTTAAAGATTGGTCTCCCTTAGTCAGACCCTCAGAATTGGAAGGTACCTCATATCTAGTGAGCTTTTCCACTTTTAGATAACTCTGATTATTAAGAAATTTCTCCTTACATCAAGACAAAATCTACTTCCAAACTTCAAACCAGTGCTCTTCTGGCCTCTTGGGCCAAGCAGAACAAGTCTATTAATATATTGGACACCACCATAGCTATCCCATCTCACAAGCCTAACAACTACTAAATCCATAGGTTTGTTTAAAAGATGCACAGTGGAATGATCTTTACAAGTATTATATAGAGAAATTTCTCATGATAATACTAACATTTATGTAGCGTTTTATGGTTTACAAAGTACTTTTCTGATAATAGCACTGTGATATTCCCATTTTGTAGATGAAGAAACTGAAGCCAGGAGAGTTTAACACACTTACCCAAAGTAATACAACTGGTAATTGCCCAAGCCAGGCCTTGAACTCAAGTCTTCTGACTCCAAAGTTTCTGTTTGTTTCCACAGCTCCAAATTAACCTTCTCAGTAAATGTGAACCTCAGGTTGTCTGAGTTTGTCTAAAGGCAAAATGTGATATGTTTTTTGATAGCCATTTCCATTTAATTGTATCAATACAAAACAATTTAGTCTTTTAAAAAAACTTTTTAACAGTTTATCTTTAGCTACAAACAGATGATAATGCATTATTTATTTTTCGAGTATTGTATTGACAGATTCTTTAGTTATGATTTTCCTTTCATAGATCTAGCTCTCTTAATCCAGTTTTAGTGCAAACCTTAGAACCATTTGATGAGTTCTGCAGAAAGGTCTTATGGTCTCTTTAGGTACTTGGCTTAATGAATTGCTACTTAATCTACAAGTTTTTTATATGCTTGATTTAGCAAGAATGTCCCCTTAGTGTTTGAACATGTTCACGTTCCATGTAAGTGGCTGCTACAGGTGTTTTATTCCCAGGTTTCTCTTAATGGTATTGTGGAAGTAGGACGAGACTGGTTGATTTTTAGGCATGTTGAAGAACTAGTTCAAAATTTTATATGGGTGGGGTAGTGGAGCTAACAATGTCCTTTTGCATTAATGACTCAAAACTACTATTTTGTAAAACTTTCCTCAGGTCATAGAAGTGAGGGAAGAGAAAAGCATTTATTAAGTGCCTACTATGTGCCAGACATTGTGCTAAGCACAGTTTTTTTAAATTAATGAAATAGGACTAGTTACCCATTTTCCATTTCAAGTTGATTTTCTAGGAATAGTTGCCTTCATTCGTGGTAGTAAGAGATTACTGTTGGAACTGTTAGTATTGCTAAAGTCATATTTTAATGAATGTCATTATAACACCTAATTCTATATAACAAGACTGTCTACATGTCATACCAGCAGCTTATATTAGAAATATAGAGTTTAGTGACAGGTGTAACCTTAGAGAGCATTTAATCCAGTGCACTTATTTTACAAAGGACACTGAGGCCTGGGGAGGTAAAATAATTTGCTTGGAATCTCACATCTAGGGAATGATGAAGATTCTTAGTCATTCTAGTGCTAACTACATTGCACTGTGGGGCAAGCCCCTGCCTCTCCCTGGGCCCATTTTCTACTCTAAGATGAAGCATTATCTCTATGGTCCCTTCCAACTCTGACATTCCATGTTTTTGTGAGAGAGCCCAGCCACTAATCTATCACTTCTTGAGCCTCAATTTCTTCCTTTAAAGTGAACAGGATAATAAAATGTCAGCCCATTGAGAGCAGAGACCTTTGTTTTTGCCTTTATATTACTAGTGCTTAGCACAATTCCTGGCACACAGGGGGCACTTAATAAATGATTATTGACTAAATGACATCACTATGTTAACATGGCTTTGCTGATATGAATGCAGCAAAGTCTACTGATCAAATAATCTGGTGTAATACCTGCATTCACAAGAAACCTGTATAAAAGTCCATGTTTGAATGTTTTTCTTATGTTTTATCATTTATATACAATAGATGTTGGAGGGCAGGGGTATGAGTCTTTTCCTTCAGCTGTTGAGTTTGTTTTTCTCAGAAGTACAGATGGATGACTGGGATGGAGTAACTGTCCTTAGACTCATGATTTTTAGAGTAGATAGACACCTTTTACCAGAGGACAGTAAGTATAAAATATATGGGCAGGGAGTAGAAGTAGTTAGTGATAGAGGCAGGGTAAGGGATGGCAAAATTGGACACCCAAGCAGATTGAGAAACCTCTGTGGACAAGGAGAACTTAAGGCTCAAGAACAAAAACCCCAGCCGTACAAGGAAGCTGAATTTTTTTTTCTTTTTGGTGAGGCAGTTGGGGGTTAAGTGATTTGCCCAGGGTCACACAGCTAGTAAGTGTCAAGTGTCTGAGGCTGGATTTGAACTCAGATCCTCCTGACTCCAAGGCTGGAGCTCTATCCACTGCACCACCTAGCTGCCCCAAACTTTTTAAATTAGGCTTTTCCTTAACAAGGGGATGGGGCAGCTAGGTGGCATAGTAGATAAAGCAGAACCTGAAGTCAGGAAGACTCATCTAACTGAGTCATATCTGACCTCAGACTCTTACTAGCTGTGTGGCTGTGTGACCCTCGGCAAGTCACTTAACCCTGTTTGCCTCTGTTTCCTCATCTGTAAAATGACCTGGAAAAAGACATGGCAAACCACTCCGGTATCTTTGCCAAGAAAACCCCAAAATAGGGTCACCAAGAGTAGGATGTAACTGAGCAACAGCAAAAGAACAAGGGGCCAGCTCCCCGGGAGTAGATAGACTAGATGGAGAGAAATTATAAAATGAGAAAATCCTGTCAATTGACTCCAAGGAAGCACCTGAAATTCTATTTTGCAGCAAGTAATCCTCCATTCTGGACTTCCATTACAACTGAACATCTTTTTTTTTGTTTGTTCTTATTGTTATTTTAATTTTTTTAAAATACCATTAAATAATGTGATTCAAAAAACATGTCAGTTTAAAAAGCCTTGCTCACTCCAAGAGGCGCAGGGGATAAATTGTTGACAGCAGTGTATTGTCTATCATACTTCATTCCAAGTAGACCTTATGGGCCTTTTCATTTTGCCCTTAGTGACTCTGGCTACTCAGTATTCCTGTTAAAACTCCAGTTTCCCATTCATAATGATATTATATATGAAGCTGAAAACTTACAAGAATGGCAGCATTTACCCTCCCCAGTATTTCACTTGTTTGTTTTTCTCCTAATTTGGAAACTGCCTTCCATATCCCAGGAAACCAAAATCAGATTTTTTTTTTGTCTGTGTAAGCCAAATTTTGGGAGAAAGTGAGGCCTTTTTTCAGACCCATATAAAATAATACTGGTCCACTGCATTAGGAGTAGGAAATTGGTTCTAGCCTGTTCTTGGAATTTCCCTGACCCTGAGTGGCAGAGAATTGGGAGCTGAGCTGGGGACCCTGCATATTCCCTAAAAAAGAAAATATAGTCTGAGCCCCTTTGGAGATGCAGTTAATTGGCTGCCTTGCCCTTGCCCTTGCTCTTGAGGTTGGAGCTCTTTCCTGTGTGGTATTTGACTTACTTTTATTTTCTTTTCCCCCTTCTCAGTTCTTCCTCTCTGCTGCCACTTCTGCCACACCTTAATTAGAAACCATAGAATATTAGATCTGGAAGACCTTAGAGATCATCTAATCAGACTCATTAATTTTACAGAGGAAGAAACTGAAGCCCAGAGAGATTGTATGATTTGCTAGTTAGTGGCAAAGCCAAGACCACTGGTTGTTTAGCTCTCTGTTTTTATTTTCTACTACCCAAACAGCTGTCTACTGCATTTTGATGGAAGAAGACACAAATGGCATTGGTGGTTATAACCTTTGTCCTATGGAATGTAAAAATATAAGGGTACAGACATACCCCTCATAGGTCAAGGGGTCAGTACACAAGTTAGTGTGGCAAATATTTAAAACCAACAATTGAAAATCTGAGAGTGTGAAGGCCTTTCTCTGTATTTCTTAATTAATCATGTTTAAGATCTTGAACTCTGTCTAATTTGTTTTGGTCTTTATTATTAGGTAGGGTACCTTTGTCGTGCCACTCAAATATAGAATGGAGAGACCTAAGCATGTAAGAATTTAAATGGTTAGTGACCACATAGCATTCTCATAACTCAAAATTATGTAATTGTCACCTGTTTAGCTCTAGTATAGAGTTTAGTTATTGTCCACAGTGTTTAAAAACTAACTATACAAGGACTTTAAGGAGAAAAGGCCACTTTATAGTAAAATCTTAGGCTAACCAGGGAATAAAAAGTATTGTGGCAGCTTGTTTTTATGGTTATTTTTAGAATTAACCAGGGGCCTTTCATGTTTGTAAAACCTTCCCAAAATAATAGTAAACTACTTTACCTTCTTCATAAATAGGGAATAGTGAACATAATTGAACTTTTCTTGGGTAATTAAGGATCTTGCAGTATTACAATTACAAAAGTGAAGTTTGACTATTTTCATGTAATGTGCACTGCTTTGTCCTTAAGTTTCAAGATTCTTAGCAACAGGAAATATTGGAAGTTTTTTGTTACTCACCAATTTAAATTTTTTATACTGCCCTAAACCTAGTGAAGAGGTAAAGGGAACAAAATTCTTTGAATGGGTTTAAGTAGAATCCCCAACATGACCTACCTTGAATGTACTTTTAGTCTGCCTACCAAAAGAGATTGCCTATAAACCAGTATCTCTGTGTTAATTCAAATTGAGTTCGTTTAATTTACTAGGTAATAACATTCTACAGGAATTTCTTTGAAAGTTTAGTGGCTTAGTTTATATGTCTTAGCTTGCACAGAGGGGATGTTGTCCCAACATTACATGAAAGGCTCATTAAATAAAATTATTTAAATTGCACACTTTCACTTGGTCAGCAATGATTTTCTTTCTTTATCAGGTGTAAATTGAAACTACAGCAGAAAACCATGTCTCTGTGGTCCTGGGTCAACAGACCCAGTGAACTGAGCAAGTTCATTAATCCTCTTTTTGAAGCCAATAGCCTTGTCATCTGGCCTTCAGTTGCTCCACAGAGTCTTCAGTTATGGGAAGGTAAATTGTTCTTATTTTTCAAATCTATTTTATTCCTATTCAGATATGCTATCTCTCTTTTTTATTATGTGCTATCTTTTGATTTGAGAATGGTGAAGCCACTTATATGCATCCCTCAGCTAACTCTGTGCCTGTAATACCCAGGCTTGTGTCTAGTAGCACAGCTTAGTTAGAGGAATTGTCTGTGGCTATGTAGTAAATCAAAATAAACTGGCCCACATGGAGTTTGAGCCTATAATAGCTTAATTGATAAGTGTCCATTTGACTTGGATATTCTCCACAGGTAGAAAAATAGAGTGGTCAGATGACATTGGTTTCTATTTCTAGCACTAGCCATGTGAGCAAGTCATTCAGTTTCTCCAACTCAAGTTTATTTATATAATGGAGCTAATAATGCTTATTTAATGTGGTTACTGTGGAGATCAAATGAAATATATGCAGAGTACTTTGTAAACTGTAAAATGGTATACAAATGCATAAAAAAGCACAAAAATATTACTGTTTCAGTTAATATCAAAAGTGAAATACTACCTATACTTGAAAATTTTTTTAATGTAGTTTCATGCAATTTGTGCAATTTGCATATGCCACAGCCATTTAACACTAGGCATTTATAGAAGAATGCTTTAGACCAATGATATATCTGAGTGTTTTAATGAATCATAATGAATCCTTGTCAGTCACTGACATATAATATGGGAAATTATAGTGTCACCTTATCTGTAGCTCTTTAATAAACAATTAGATAATCCTCACTTTGGGATTATGGAGGTATAAACCTATGTAGAAGAGAAAGATTAGGTACTATTATTCTATAAATGTAATGTTAATTCATTGTTTCTTTCCCCCTTCTGGTTTCAATAGGTGTATTCCTACGATGGAACAGATCCTCTAAGTATCTGGATGAAGCCTATGAAGAAATGACTAATATCATTGAATATAACAAGGAATTACAGGCAAAAGTAAATACCCTTAGAAGGCAATTGGCAGAGCTGGAAACAGAAGATGGGATGCAAGAAAGCCCCTAAGATATCCCTTGATGGCCATACCATTGGAGCCTTCTCCATCTCTTTCCTTCCCCTTAGTCTCTTTCTCCGGTTTTCCTATGGTTCATCTTTACACTGAAGCTTGGAATATGTTTAAATGGTGGGACTGATCTGATGTAATAGATTTCTCAACACTTCACTGATGAAGTCTACAACCATTATTTACCTTAAATAAGGCCTCTAAGGCTGCTTCACTTTGGGGAAAAGAGGAGGGTGATAGTCATTTTAGTTGGCATTAAAGTGGTGGCATGTTTGATGCCATTCATATTATAGACAACTTACACTTAAGTGTAAACTTAAGCTTATCCATTTTAATTTAAATCGTATATGGATGGCCAGTTGTGGACAATGACAAAAGTCCATCTAATTAAAAGATTTTCTGGCTTTTTTTTTTCCTTGGGTTTTTGGCGTTGATGTCAGACTTCTGTATGCAAAAACATGGGTTCTCAAACCTGAAGTGGCAAATCAAGGCATTTTTTGTTTAATGCGTTTTTTCAAATGGCCTTTGTTTAGTAAAATGGGTTTGTACTTTCTGTTTGGCGTAATTCAGAATGACAAAGCTAAATTTATTCTACATTCAGTTTATCAAGAAAGGAAAGAGATAATAAATACAGTAATGTCATCATTTCATTGTTATAGGACAGTTGCCTTTGAAAGAGAAGCCAGATAATCTGATGGGATTTCTCTTAAGAATTAAATTTGTTGAAGAGTGAACACTAAATCAGAGTTGGAAGAATGTGCAATATTGACATTTTTTGTTTGTTTGTTTTAAGTTTCTTGGCCGTATTTTCTAGAAGTGAACATAACATATGAGGGCCAGAAAGGAAAAATATCATTTGGAAGAGGTCATAATTTACATTGTAAAAAAATGGTTAACTTTAACCAGAGATGCACTGCCCTTGTCTGATGTTCTCATTGCACTGGTTTTTGCCTTTTTTTTTTTTTTTTTTTTAAGAATAAGACTTGACTAATACTGAGGTTACAACTTTTTTGTGATTTTTATCACAGTGCATTTTTGTCTTGACTATGCTAACTTGTCCATGTTCTATGTTAGACAAATGTGATTTAAGGAAGAACAAACTATGTTATCGTGATGTAGTACCACATTTTAAATTTCAGAAACTTAGTAGATTAAACGATTTTCAAATGTTACACAAAAGCATGACTTTTTATTCTGGTTTCAGTTTTTTCTTCTGGTCAGTTCCAGAAAATTTGTTGCCAAGTTTTTTCAAAGTTAATTTTGTTTAGCAAAATTATTGGTACTTACTACTTTTTAAGAGTATACTGTGAAAGATTAGGCTTTAATACCAATTCATTGTAACACCTATACATATAATCATTTTAGTGTAGAGTGCTGAAACATAACCCAATTTAGTGCTACTGTATGTTGTGGAAAAGGATAAACTTTTTGCTCTCCATTCCTGAATGTAAATACGTGACCACAGTGACCCTAGAAACTGGCAAATACATGCTGCTTCTCCCCACCTCCTTCAAAAATGTGATCCTACCACTTTAAAAGTTTCTACTCTTTTTATTCCTTCCCCTGGCTGGTTAGCAGTAATATGAAAAACTATCTTTATTGAGAAGTCCCTTATAGATATTTTAGAATGGCTGACTTCTCTGGCTATAGCTGTGAACCTTGGGGCATAATAGGCCTCATTAAACGACTAAGGCAAGGAAGGGAATTGAGATCTGTACATAAATAGACTAGAGCTAGTTATGTACGGTATATGTGTGTATGTATATAAAATTTGGAAGGCAGAGAAAGGAGGAAAACTTCGAGTCCTGAGAATGAGCTGCTACTTTCCAAATACATCTAAACCTAACTTTTTCTTTCAAAGTAGAAGACTTTTTTCACCTCCAATTCACTTAGGAAGTAGAAGGGAGAGCATCAGAAGATTTCTTAGTGACTCCGTAAAAATGGTTAACACAACATGTGGTCCACAGGAACTACATAGACAGGTATAGGGGCTGTTCATTACTAGGTTAAAGTGATAGGAGCATGGCTTGTCAATCATCCCTGGTGAGCAAGTATAAAGAATGTGTGAGCCAGAGTTCTATGATAGTAAGGAACATAAAATCTGCTCCTTCTTTCTCTTCCTGAAAACAGGTGCTAGCATATGAGGACTGTTATGCTATTGTATGATTTGTGTATTGTTAGTACGCATTTGCAGATAGAAATATCAAAATCTGAGAGCAATTTAGGGCAAGTTAGAACCAATTGAAGTGTCCTCCGGCTATGTGAAAAAATACTATAAAATAATAAATTACCTCTGACTTGACTAAAAGAAAAAGCAAAAGGGTTGAACCTGTTAGAATGTTCTTGTGAGATATTAGTGGGTTTTTTTTTTTAAGACTTTTTAGATAGAAGCCTTAGGCTTAGGGGATTATACTTAACAAGGCTGTCTGTTTCTCATCTAGACTGATAATCACATGAGGTGTTTTCATGTGTAACGGACACCTTCATTAGTCATCTATATTGAAGGTGCTGGTTTATATTTTTAGTTGTGTTTAAAAGCATATGAAAGGAACATAAAAAGCAAATGTGTAATCACTAGCTTCCAGTAGAACACAAAAAGGATCCTTTAACCTGTCCTCCACCTGAATAATTTCTACTTGTAATCACTATTCCCCAGTTCGTAGGTTCTCCAAATCCTGATTTTTTATCAACTTTTCCTTATGATTTTCCAAGAGAGAGAACTTCTCTGTGACATTACTGAGTCCATTATTGTCATTTGTAATTAGCAGATATTTACATAGATTTGGAAAACATAGGGTTGGCTAAACTAGAACTAAAAATTTTTTCATGGCAAAAGCCATCATATATAGTATTTGTGTGTCAAAATGAGCTTTTTGCCTTCGCAGAATCCATTTGAAGCAGTCATGCTAAAACTGTAAACTTTGTTGCCAAATTAAAAATTAGCGATATTAAATAACTTCTAATTTCAGTTCATTCTTAAGTTTTAAAAGTAATTTAGATGAACAATGCTAGTTTTTATATTTGTTCATAAGCTTACGTTGGGGAGATTTCTTTTATAATAAATCTTTGAACTCTGAGGTTTAGATTAATGAGAATATATGAGTCTCAATTGACTTCAGTTTAGGTGATGAAATGTGTTGGAATTTGGAAGTCTGTTGACTTCTTTTGTATAAGGAAAGAGTAACTGTCTCTATTTTGTCACATAAATGCCCATGAAACCATTTGAGGAAAAGTTGAATAAGTCCTTTTAATCGCCTAAAATGAAAACTTTTCAGTTTTACTGAATGGATGCTACAAGGAAGCAAAATGCTTATTCCTTATCTAGCAGACTGGACTCATTCTCGCTGTCTTCTGGACCAAAAGTGAGCTGGTTGTTGTTAAAATAGTTTGTCCCTTGCTCTGGCAACATGAGGCCTGTGACAAGAAGGCCACTCAGCACATCTGAACTGTCTGAGCCCTTTGTGTCGAGATCACTCAGATTTGGGGTTTTTTTCCTCCTTCCTTTGTCCATTTGAAGTACACCTAAAGTGATTTTGTCTACTTTTGCTGATAGCTGGTTTTTCAAGATATTTCCTTGGTCCTGTTTTTGTGTAATTCTCCATCTTACCAAATATCAAATAGTGGGAAGACTGGTTTTGCCCTCAGTATAACTGAACTAATAAAAAATTGGTATTCATAGTCTATCATTTTTTTTCTTCCTTCATAAAAAACTCTTTTCACCTCTGTTCTCATCAGTAAGGCCTTGCAGTCTTCATAAAATACATACCAGCCCACATGACCCAAAAACAGTCCTTTGAAACATTTCAGGTTCTTGAACTCTATACTCATTACTCTAAGTTCCTATTTAGGAAATAGAACCATCCCTCCCTCAAAATGAAACATTTATGAAATATTTAGTTTCTTTTTCTCTGTGTGGAGGAAAATGGTATTCACTACAAATTCTGTACTATCCTGAGAAGTGATTTCTGATGGGCTTTTAGAGTGAACAAAAATCTTATATATGACTCTTTGCAAATCCAAAGAATGGTATATGGAGATTTGAAACAACCCAATTCCTCAGTGTAATAAGGCCTGTGTCTGTCTAGCCATAACAACGTTTGCTTCTGGTTCAAGCTATATGCATCCTGGGAGAATTACTGCTCAACACAAATACATGCTAGACTTCATTACTTAGAATCCTTGTACACCTAATGCCATTTATAATAAAAATGTTGTACTTGCACAATTTACTTTAAATGTATTTCCTCATTAGCCAGGTATTTGGATTGTACTCTTGATATATTTGAATGTGACTCCTGGGTTCAAGTGCACTATTACTATTCATGTCCCATAAAATAAAGTCGCACCATGTAACATAACGGTGTCTGTAATGTATCTTTTGCTGATCCTTAGAGTGCTGTTAATGCACAGGTTCCACTACAGAGCATCTGTCTTTTACTGTTGGGGAAAGATGCTCTACACTTTTGTACATCTGTGTAACACTTTAATATTCTTTGTAATGTTCAAGTCATGGTCATTAAACAATGCAAAATAGATGGCAGATGTATTTCCATCCTAAATCATCTTGAGTCAGCTGTTTTGTCAAGTGTGGTTTTATTGACTTGAAAGAAATTGTGTCATCTCAAGTGTCTGTGTTGTTGTTGGTGCCTTGTTTTGTGTATGGTGTTTTTCTTCCACTACAAAGGAGAGCTACGCCATGTCTAGTGTTAAGTTTCTCTAGATAACTATTAATAAAATTTAAGTCTGATCAGATGCTGGAAAATTAAGCTGCCATCTGACTTTGGTTTTCTCAGAAATCTATAAAGAAGTTGGTAGAAAATATTTGAATTAAAATCTGCCTATGTTTAAATATATGTATTATTTTAATTCCTGCAGTTGAGTTTTCCTTTTCATCTACTTTCAACCTGTTCCATTCTTATTCCTTAAGTTTTGAGATTAAAATTAAACATCTGGGGTGAGGTAGGTGGTGCAGTGGATAGAACACCTGCCCTGGAGTCAAGAGGACCTAAATTCTAATCCGGACTTATTAGCTGTGTGTGACTGGGCAAGTCACTTAACCCTGATTGCTCCCCCCCAAAAAAAACAAACAAACATTAAATGTTTTCAGAAAGCTTACTGCAGCAAGTCTTCAGAATAACTGCCTATAATTCAGAAGTTCTCAAGGGAGGATTGTAGCAAAAGCAGGAGGCCACGTGACCCAGCCCCACTCATGAATTTGAACATTGAACTTGACATAGGGCTACAAACAACTGAAGGAACGGTCAGTAGTTAAGACAGGTGAAGGCAGTATATCTCACCATTCTCCCCTGCTGCCATCAGATTTGCCCAGGAGCCCTACCTTTGGTAAGGTAAGGCCAGAACTCTAAATCATTGGATGACAGTATGAATTGTTTTTGACTGGAGGTACTACACCCCTAAGCAGCAATCCATGAATTGCTACATTTTCTAGAGAAGTTCACATACCTGCACCTTCCACTTCCCTTTCTATTTCCTAATAATAAAATTGTGAATCATTGTCTACAGTACTGTTTGAAATTCCTAACAACTGAATGTCCAAAAGGAAGGGCAAGGGCAATTAAAATGATGAAAGGAGGGATTTCAGTAGGAGAATAAATTAAAAGATGGGAATCAGCTTAGACAAAAGCAAGAGGAGGTCATGAAGCCCTATGAGGGCAAGAAATGAATCTTAATAGTGTCAAAAAATTTAGAACTGGAATGGGACCTTCAGATGTCACCTAATTAAAAAATTTCAGAATTGAGAAGGACTTCAGAGACTGTTTTAAGCCATACCTGAAGGACTTTTCACAAAATACCAAACAAGTAGTCAACTAGCCTTGGAGATGAAGACTTTCAGTGAAGAAGCCACTACCTCCTGAATTAGCCTAAATTCACTCCCCATTCCACCTTCATAATATTATTCTATATCTCCTTCTTTCTAACACTTGTCACCACCCTGCCACAGGCCCTCATCACTTCCCATACTTGGACTACTGCAATGGTTAGTCTCCTTGACTCCATGTCTTTCCGTGTTCCAGTTTATCCTTAGCTGTCAAATTGATCTTCCTAAAGCATAGGTCTGACTGACATCTTCCTAATCTTATTCCCTTCCCAAGTATACTGTGATCCTTGTCTCCTTGCAGTTCCTTGAACAAGATACTTCCTTTCTGGACTCGGCATTTCCCTAGCTTTCTGGGTTTTCTGGCTTTCCCCTCATGTCTGGAATTCCCTCTTATCTCCACCTCCTGCTCTCCCTGGCTTCCTTCAAGTCCCAGCTAAAATACTATCTTCTACAAGTTTTCCTGGTAACCCTTCATGTTAGCATCAGCCCTCTGTTGATTATTTCTGTTTCATTCTGTATATATCATGTTGATATATACTGAGCTTCTTGAGGGCAGGGACTATTTTTTGCCTTTCTTTGTATCCCCAGGGCTTCGCACAGAATTTAGTACGTAATGGGCACTTAATAAATGGTGACTACTTCTGATTCTGCCAACTGGTGCCAAATAAGACAAATCTGATCTTCCATGTGATAGCCCTTAATATACTTGAAGACAATTATCTCATCCATCTTGGGTCTTCTCCAAACTAAACATCCCCAGTTCTTCCCTTCATCAATGTGGCTGCATTCCCCTGGATGCTTTCAAGCTTATTACTATCCTTTCTAAGATATGATATTCTGGAAGTGAACACAGGACTTCAAATGTGGTGTAGCCACATCCAGGATCAAATACTGCAGGGCTATCATCTCCATTTTTCTGGAAGTTATATCTCTCAATGCAGCCCTGTTACTTGCAGTCCACTAAAACTCCCCTGGGATCCTCCTAATTGTGTATACTCACAGTAGCAAACCAATAGCAAGCTCTGGTGGGCTTTACACCACCTTATGTAGAATGTCCATTCCTGTTCGTCACAGAAGCACTTTGACCAGCAGGCGTGGGTCCCCTAGTTTAATGCTATTTCCTATACTGATATTTAACTTCTTGTGAACTTTATAGTCCTTAGTGTAAAAGGGGCTGACCATAGGACAGGGATACAGGGAGAGAAGAGGGCATTCCAGATGGCAGTAGGTGAGAAGGTGGGAATAACTTCACAAATGTCATAGGAACATCAGGAGACCAACCTGACTGAAGACAGAAAGACTAATGTGCTAGCCCAGTGTTGTCAAACATACACCAAACACTAAACGCGGCCCTAACTAGATTAAAATGTAATTGTGAAATGCTTAACCAAATAAATTTAAAATACAATAAAATGTGGTTAATGTTAATATGCAGTTTTGTAAGTCAATATTTTGCTCTGCAGGCATGCTTTTTTATGGTCTAGTGGCCCCATTTTATTTGAGTTTGACAATTCTGCTGGAGAGTTAATGAGGCAACATGGAATCATGAAAAGGCTACACGATTCTGCCAAAGCCAAGTACGTAGCTCTAAAGGTTCATTTCTCTTGTGAATCTTTTTTGGTATAGTTGTTAAGTCATTTCAGTAGTGCCTGACCCTTTGTGACCCCCATTTGGGGTTTTCTTGGCAAAGTTACTGAAGTGATTTGCCATTTCCTTCTCCAGCTCATTTTATAGCTGAGGAAACTGAGGCAAACAGAATTAAGTGACTTGCCCAGGATCACACAGCCATTAAGTTTCTGAGGCTGGATTTGAACTCATGAAGATGAGTCTTCCTGTGCCATTGTGCCACCTAGCTGCCTTTTTCAGTATAGTATCTCTATTAAACCAATCTGAAAGGTAAAGGAGTAGGGGAAAGGAATGGGCCAAATGGAGGAAGCAAACATTGAAATGAGATTTAATCAAAGTAGTTGTGTAGTAGTTGTATTTCTCTACCCTTCTTTCTCCCACCCATACTTGCTCTGTCACAAATCTTGAAATTTGTAATCTGCACATCACCCTTACCTAAGTCAGGTCAATCTCATCATATTCCCTTCCCCTACAACTCTTCTGCCTTTTGAATTTACAAATCTAATTATCCCTGCTTAAATATCTAGGGAATAGTAGTGATGTAAAGAGTCCTTTCACTATTGATAAAAATACTTACCATTTTCTTTGTCTCCAGAGAAGAGCTAAAAAGGGTGAGGGAGTAGGTTGATGAGAGGGACTCCTTCCTGATCAATTGAGTCTCCCAGTCCACTGGATCAAGTTATAAAATGTCTGTCCTGGTTCTCCACCTTTGTTGGACTATTCCTTCTTCGTCTCCTCTGCTGTTTCAGTTTCCTCATCTGTAAAATGAGCTGGGGAAGGAAATGGCAAACCACTCCAGTATCCTTGTTAAGAAAACCCCTTAATAAAAACAAACAAACCAACCAACCCTAATGGGGTCATGAAGGGTCAGACGTGAGTGAATAACAAGAATGGTGCTTAACCTGCTACCTCTAGTCTAGGTAACTATGTAAGGTCAGTTTTCAGCCTTACAGATCCATAAACTCACAAACAGGGTAACTAAACTCACTGAGAGTGCTTAGTAGGAAGAGACTAGCAGCGGCTAATTTATAATAGGTGGTGTAATTGCTTGGAGAATCAAGTCACCCCAACAGCTATGAAAATTAGTCCATTACTCAAAGCAACCTCTTTTTGTTACTGGTGTGCTCCTGTGTCTTGGGAACCATATTAATTATCATTGTTTTGCTGAGCAAGGAATGAAACTGAAGGGGAAACTGATTGCTTTACAAGACAATGTTGGCGTCTCAGAATCATCCTTTTGTCAGCTAAAAGTAATATAATATAAACAATTTGCTGTCTTGTTGTTCTGTCATTTTCAGTTGTTTCTGACTCTTTGTGACCCTTTTGGGGTTTTCTTGGCAATGAGACCGGAGTGGTTTGCCATTTTCTTCTCCAGCTCATTTTCCAGATGAGGAAATTTAGGCTTGCCTAGGGTCATAGGGCTAGTAAGTGTCTGACACTGGATTTGAATTCAGATCTTCCTGACTACAGGTCTGGTTCTCTACACACTGAGTCACCTAGCTGCCCCTGTTGAGGTTAGAGTTGGGAGAGCCAGTTCAGGCATGAAAGAATTCACTTAGATGATTTTCTCTTAACCAATGGGGAGCTTTATTTCATTAAAGCTTCACAGGTCTCCCTAGCCAGAAAGCTAAAAGAGACTCTGATATTTGGGGGAGTTATATGGCATTTTCAAAAGCATGATGTAATTTTAGGAGTTTGTATGGGGGTTAAAGATTAGGGTCAAGGAAGGTTGTTGTGACGTAGGATGTAGGTGTTATAAAAACCCCAGACTCAATTCAGAATTCAGCCCGAGACTGGGCTCAGTGAATTCCATGAACAAGAATTAGGTGGGTCATAAAGAAATAACAGTTGTGGAGTGAGAGAAGAGATACCTTTATTAACAATTCTGTCGAGAATTGGGTGTGTTCCCTCATTGGAATCACACACCTATACAAGAGCAGGGCAAGTGGTTATATAGGATCACTTGGTTTTAACCCCCAACTTGTCCCATCATTCCTGCATGTCCCATTTAAAATCTGTGTTTGCAATGCAATATCTTTTGTTTCTATAGAGTCTGTCCCCCTCATCTTGTTTACATATTTGTGTAAACCAATAAACCAATAAATCAATTAATCAATAACCTAATCTCCCCCTGTCCTGTTTTCTTATCAATTCTGTGGAAACCAAACTGTTAACATTTCTCACAAAGGGGGCAAAGGGAATTCTTTATGGTTTAAGGATTAAGGACAGGGCATGAGGGTACAGGTTAAAAATTAAAGGACAGAGGGAACATAGGATAAGGGACACAAAAGGAATTATTTTGGTACAGGTTCAGGATAAGAGGGAAAGGAGTTTATGATGCCTTTCTGGTTACAGAGTAAGCTGGGATTTCACAAAGTACC